TCTTGCCATATCAAAATGATGTCATATGGGAAACGAACAAAAATAGGCCACTCAGCCCTTCGAACCTGCTCCACTGTTCAATAAGATCTGAGTTTAACCTCAACTCTACATTCCTGATAATATTTCATCTCCTTGGGAATCGAAATTCTATCTACCTCTACCTTAAGAATATTTAAAGCTTCTGCATCCATTGCCTTTTTGAGGGAGGGAATTCCAAAGACTCATTACCCTCTGAAAAAAAATGTTTCTTCACCTTTGTCCGAAATGGGTGCCCCTTATTTTTAAACTTTGACCAGATTTTGTTCTAGATTCTCCTACAAGAGGAAACATCCTTTCAGTATCCATCTGGTCAAATCCCCTCAGGATCTTATATATTTCAATTAAGTCACCTCTGACATTTCTAAACTCCAGAGGATACAGGTCTAAGCTCTCTCGCTATTTCTCGTATGGCAATTTCCCCTGTTCAAGGTATTAATCTGGTAAACCTTCTGTGAACTGCTTCCAAAGAAGACCAGTAAATGTCAAAAACTCTGGTTTAACCAGATCTAACAGCTCTTTTTCAATTGTGCAATCCTTGGGTTGAATCTCCAAATAATGTAGAATTAGACATAGTTCTGCAGCTCAGAGTGGCAGCTTCATAAGCAGATACCACAGTATAGTGTTGAAACAGTGGCACTAGAATAGGGAGCATGCTCCTGATAGTCTAATACAGTCAGGTCCTTTCAAAAGATTAAATGAGGTAGTACCCTACACCACAAAAACCAAATTTAGTTGTCACTGTACTGGGTTATTCACATCTTGAAAATCTGCAGTACCGTTGCAATTCTTCAACTTGTTACTGTATTCTTATTAGTTCAAGATGTAATCCATTATAAATAAACTCCAGGGTATTTACAAAACGGGAACCTCTCAGGAATGATTTCACTCGAACAGCTTTCTTTCAACACATCAATATGGTTCTTCTGGGGCAATACAGTGCATTACTAAACTACTCCGAAGCGGGTATCTTCCTAGTTATGAAGCAACTCTGGAAATGGGAGAGTTTGGAGAAGAGAAACCCATGAACTATGAAGAATTTTGGCCAACAGACAGGTGATGGTTTGATGGGTCACAGGCAGAGATTTCTTGGGTCAAGGACTATGGGGTGAATGGGCCGGTGAATTGACTGTGAGGCCATGGGGTCAGCCTTTCAATTTTCAACCCCTCTGGCCCAGGTCCAGTCCCTTGATTGTGCAAACGTTGTTGCAGACAGAGAAGGAGCTACTTCTTTAGCTGTCCTCTCAGGGGCTTGAATTGGCAGTGGGCAAGAAGGTAGAGCCTGAGCCTTTCTGTCCAGCACTTAATTCGGCCCATCATCATCCCACCTCTTTAAGTTCACTTCCTGTCTCAGGGTCTCCCACCTCCGGGACCGGAACATTCTACCTTAGTCTCCAGAAACAAAGGCCATAGTTTATGGATAAAGTGTAAACCACTTAGGACTGAGATGGGAAACTTCTTCACCCAGAGAGTGGTGAGACTATGAAATTCACTACCAGAAGTGGTTGTGGTCAAAATATTGTGTTTTCAAGAAATAGGTAGATATAGTTCTTGTCGTTAAAGGGATCATGGAATATAGGGAGTGAGAGCAGGATTAGGGTATTGAGCTTGATGATCAGCCTGGTACAGGCTCAAGGGGTTGAATGGTCTACTCCTACTCCTATCTACTATGTTATAATGTAAATTTTCCAATTTTCATGACTGTTTACCAAAGCGATTCATCAGTTCATCATTCGAACACTTGGTGAGGAGATAACTGCGTAAAATGACAAATGGAAACCTTAATGTGGTACCGTTTGGATTTCATTTATTTATCTTTTGCAAGTCATACCCTGGAATATCTCAGAATCCAACAGCACAGAACAGTCTGTGGTCACCTGCACTGCTGGCATCTATCAATACCTGAATGGATTGGAATGACATTTGAGAATGGGAGGAGAATAGAATAAAAATGTCAGGGTGAAATAGCAGCAAAGAGTGATTTACAGGTGTATGATGGACAGCCTAACAAAGATTTCTGTGTGTGTCCATTTTAAACAGCAGCTCGTCAACTCAGAATGACAGTTTCTCAATATGTAAATTTAAAGATAATAACTAAGCAACAAAGGCAAAATCTGTTCGTGCTTTTTCAGCAGCATTTGTGGGATTTGTTCCACAACAGGGTGCATCTTTTAAGATCTTGCCTGAAGCTACCATGTTGTTTTCTTTTACTTTAAAAATTTGACTGAAGTAACAGTACAAAAGATCCGCCCCAGATATTCTTTGCACTTTTAGCAAAGATCTGTCATCAGTTTACTCTTGGGTGTGTTGAATTCTCTGTTGGGTCCTGAACAAAACTGAGCTGTTGTTGTCTCAATGGCCCATGATGTACAAAGGAAAATATTCTGGTGTGGCAGTTCTTCAGGATGTACTGAACATGTTCCAGCTCTTTAAATGCTAGTATGGGGTTCTTTGTGAATGCAAACAAATGTGAAAAGATCAATTCCTGAAAGCAATTCAGAAGCACAAAAAGTGTTTCACAACTTACCTGAAGCCTCTTTACATAATAACTTTAAAAATACTGATCAGCTGTAAATATGTATTTAATGTTTAAAATTACCTGTAATCATTATTTTCACTGCATATCAATCCCTGAAAGTGGATCATCACCCAGATACCCACATTGCTATAAATTGATGTTTTCAACAATATCAATACTTAAGCATCCCCCACCATCACCACCTTTAAACAGCTTCTTTGACAGTGTAGATTTCAATCCTAACTTTTAGTTGCAATGAAAATGAGCTATATTCTATCGACGTTTCAATTTAGCACCTATGATTAAGGAGGAAAAAAGAGCTCAAAGTTACATGAAACAGAAGTCGTTCATTCAAATGAGACACAGCAAGTTGCATCCAGAAACTATTATGTCATTGTTCTGTCCTTTCAAATGCAATCAATTGTCTGCAATGAAGATTACTGGAAACTATACAAGCTTAGCTATCAAGCTTACTGTTCCCAATCTTTGACAATTCTATTTTTCAATGATGAACTTTCTTTACTAGGCATCTGCTACACTTTGGAAAATAAGTCACTTTCCTTGGCAATCACTGTTTTCTCTCAAGTTTGCTCAGATATTTACTGAGCAAGTGAAACATTCAGGGATAAGCACAGGGTGCATACATCAGCATTTTGGGATTGGTGCACATATCTGCATTATTCATGACAAGTAATTAACGTTTGAAATGCAGTGTCAAAAAAACTAATTCGTATTAGTAACATTACTACTAGTATTAGCTAGCCATTTTCTTTCTGGAAGTTTCTGCGTCGCAAGACATTTTCTTTTTTCATACAATTCCCATTCCTTTGGAGAAAATACTTCAACCCTCAGATCTCTTTCCCAATGACTTTGATGAAGACCTGCAACTCACAAGGTGGCAGAGACAGTTGTAAATCTGAGTCGTACCACTCCAGGGTGAAATAGCTTATCACACTTACCTGTTGAGCCATGAGAAACCTCTATGGTTAGTTTTCATCATTTACTTGAGGTTTAAGTTGTTTTAAGTAAGTAAAGTTCAGTAGAATTGCTTTGCAGATTACCACATGAATTCTCAACTGTGAGCTCAGTAGCAAATAGATATGGATTACGAAGCCAATAAGGAAGTGGGACAAATGCTTGAGGTGTACACAGTCAATTAGAGTTGAAAAAAAATCTGCTTTTTTGAACAGAAAACATGCCAACCACACAAATTTTGGATAGAATCACTATTTCCAGAGGTGCATAAACCATGAAAACACAAATGCAGTAGTACTCAACTAAGTATGCAAATACTTCCACACAATACCAAATATATACACAAAGACATCCCAATGGTAGTCGATGACACAATGTTCATGTCCCATCTTGCCAGGTGAGAGTTCTATTGTAAAACGATGCAGTTCAGTTAGATTAAACACAAGAAAGGTACATTCACACACTATAAGTATTAAGATTTCCTTACTATTTGCATACATATTTTCCAATAAATCGAAAAGTATGCAATATTCTGATTACACACTGACAATTACAAATTGTGAAAAACAAACCTTAAAATCAATTGGCCTAAACATGACCAGGAACATGGTTTAGACTTTGAGTCATATATATTCACATGAACGTAGTATTCTAATCATATGTAAAGCAACATAGATTTTCTTTAAAAAGTGAATTCTTGAAGAGATTTAAAAAGAAGAATAAATACAATCATTCTGCTCCTTCTTTAAGAATCAATTTTATTTACATACTGATGGACGGACTTAAAAATAATAAGATCATTTCAAACTGTCAGCTGATTGAATCAGGAGTGCAATTTATGTTTCTTTGCCAATCTTGTCTTGCTTACCAAGGCTCTGCAGATGCTAAATGCCCTCTAATACTAGATCTCAAGTAATCATTGATCATCTTTGAGCCTTGAACTGTGAACAATGCCAGAGAATTGAATAAACATCATCACCTCAAGCTCAATGACAGGGCAAAGTTGCACACTGTCATTGAGCAATGGATGACGGAGTTCCCATTACTTGCCCCTAGTCCAAAAATGCCTGAGATAAAGTGTGAAAGGCATCCTGTCTACCAGCCCAGACTGCAAGGGGTTGCAATGTGATGGGACCAATGCGTGCCTGTGAGAGACATAGTTGGATAAGTCCATTGATCAGAAGTCACACAACACCAGTTAACAGACCAACGTGTTTATTTGAAAACACAAGCTTTTGGATTTCAAATAAACCTGTTGGTCCATAACATGGTGTCATATGACTTCTGACCTTGTCCACCCCAGTACAACACTGGCATCTCCACATCACGTCAACCCAATGAGCACCCAATTTGACAGGAGAGTGAATAATTCATTCCCAAATAAATGAAAACATCCTATTTCATTCACTTCAGCTGTTTACATTGTAACAGGTTACAGGGTGAATGAGTTGACAAAGAGATTTGTTCTCACCTTCAGTGCAGTACCGCCCCATATACCTCGTGTTAGTACAGTCACAGGTAATCTCCCCTTCTATCCATGTGCATACTCCACCGTTTTCACAAGGATTCTCAGTGCAAATCCCTTCCTTGTCCACTCTCACCGAGTGGCTTCCAAGCAGCACTGGCGCAGAGTCACCATACTTCAAGTCTTCAATAAATCCTTTGAAGGGGGGTTCGCGTTGCACCAGGACAGAAGTCAAGGCGGTCTCTCGGATGTCCTGGGGAATCCCGCCCACGAACAGGTCGCTGGCCACCTTCATGTACTGCCGCTGGGGCTTGACCTCTGCTGACCGGGTGTCCCCGTCGAGGACCAGCACGGTCCTGAGGAAGTTGCGGCTGACCATGACGAAGTGCCACTTGTCATCATTCACCCTCCTGTCCATCTCCACCGAGGCTTCGTAGCAATCGATGCTGAACTTCAGCCGGACCCGGCCACCGGCGATGGTCAGCTGCAGGAAATCGCAGAAGCCGCCGTCGTCCAGGTACAGCAGCAGCGCTTCGGGCAGATTGGTCTTAAACTGGAAACTCAGGTCGCTCCGGCTGCCCGCTTCCCAACGCGAGAAGCGGCTCCACAAACCCGGGCTCCCCGTGAACTCCAGCCCCATGCAGAGCCCAGCCAAGGGACCCAGGAGCAGCGCCAAGCAGAAAGTATCCGTGGTTAACATTGTGTTGACAGAATCACAGATATAAACACACACACAGCCAGGGGAGGTATAAAACAAACAGACTGAACAAAAACGGTCACTCCGCCCGCAATGTTAACTCTGACTTCTCTCCACAGAGCTTTTCCAGCAATTTCTGGGTGTTGTTTTTTTTTCCCCCCTGTTTCTGTTTTCCAGCAGTTCTTTACAAATCCCCTGTTCAGAGCAAGACGTAGATTAAATCCACGCTGATAAAAGTCAGAGAGGTCATCAGCTGAGTTAGATCAAAGCAATCCCTCAAATACTGGCGGACACCCAGCTTTAGAAGGTTGTCCACATCACAACGGCACAGGTAGCGGGTAAATGAGAAAGATGCACAGTGAAGTTTTCAGTTCTGGTGTTTATGTGTGTGTGTGTGGAAAACAAATCCGAGCTCCAGACGGTCAAAGTTTCCGTCAGCTCTCCTGAATCATTCACCAGCCAACTTCCATCCAGAGGGCAAAAGAACAGAGACGGTATTCCTTCCTCTCTGTGGACGGAAACGTGCAGATCGATCCTCACTGCCACTTGTTGGATGCGATTAGCGAAACCCAGAGGCACCACATGATGGTTTCGTATCTGCTCCAGCCATGGAGAAGCCGAATTGCCCCTGACAACCTGCAAATGAAATTAAAAATGTGATTAAAAACGTGCATTTTTTTTGCAAACAAAAACAGAAATTGCTGCAAAAGCTCGGCGGGTCTATGATGCTGCCAGAGCTACTCAACTTTTGCAGCAATTTCTGTTTCTGTTTCTGATTTCCAACATTCGCAGTTCTTTCAGATTTTATTATACATTTGTTTTTGTTTCTGATTTCCGTCATCCGCAGTTCTTTTATTGTGCATTTCTTTGTTTATCACCGATCAAATATTTTAGAGACACCGTCCTAAATAAACAGCAATTTTAAGCTAGATTTTTCAATCGCCCTGTTGAGACACGTTTTAGATGGGTGGGAGTCGAACGGGAGTTTCCTGGGCTTGCCACAAGTACACAACAGCAATGCTACCAAATGGTAGCAAATTCATCGCACTGTGAACTCACCAGTGATTTGTGTAAGTGAACAAAATCTGTCTGAACTCTCAACACCCCAAAATATAATTCACTCACACTACTGCTGATGTGAAAGTTTCAGCATCCAGCTAGTCAATCTTCTAGAGGGGAAATATACTTGCTCCCCCAAAACATTAAGAGAAATCTCAGATCCAGGTCTCTGAATTAACGCAGAGAGTGAAAATTTGATCAGACATTTGTTAAAACACCTCAATCCTGCAGTAATTCAACCCCTGGCTCCCCAAAATCCTGCCACCATCTACAAGGCGCAAGTCAGGAGTGTGATGGAATACTCCCCACTTGCCAGGATGAGTGCAGCTCCAACAACAATCAAGAAGTTTGACACCATCCAGGTCAAAGCAGATCTCTTCGCCAATAATGCTCAATAGCAGCAGTGTATACCATCTACAAGATGCTCTGCAGAAATTCACTAAGGCTCCTTAGGCAGCACCGTCCAAACACAACCACTACCATCAAGAAGGACAGCAGATACATTGGGAAACCACCATCTGCAAATTCCCCTCCAAGTCATTCAACATCCTGACTTGGAAATATATTATCATTCCTTCACTGTCGCTGGGTCAAAATCCTTGGATTCCCTCCCTAAGGGCATTGCGGGTCAACCTACAACACATGGACTGCAGCAGTTCAAGAAGGCAGCTCACCACCACCTTCTCTTAACTGGAAAAAGTTTTTATTTTATGTTGCGTTCTGTGATGTAGTAAGACAACAGCAGCAGTGGACTTTTCAGTTTCAGCATCAACATTTGGTTCTTTCGACAATTATCTTAATTCTGCACCCGCTGTTTGCCCATTTCTTGCAAGTGGAAACTTGCTTCTTCTTATGGACACCTTCGAGGCACTTCATGACTTTGAACACCTCAATTAAATCTTTCTTCAACTTTTCCTGCTTTAAAAGAGAACAATCTCAGCTGTTCTAACCTCTCCACATAGTTGAACATCTTTGGCATCTTCCCCTGAATCGTCTTTGCATCCACTCTAATGCAGGCAAAGACAAAACATCCCAAGCCACTTTACAGCAATATAATCAGACAAAGATCAACAATGATCTAAACAAAGGGTTATGATTTTTTGATTTGATTAGATTTATTATTGTCACATGTACCTAGGTACAGTGAAATTTCTTTGTTTTGCATGCAGTACAGGCAGATAATACAGGGATTTCTGCTTTAACACGTGTCTTGTTAACCCGAATTGGCTCTAATGCAATTAATGAATAGCGGACGCAGTTTGGATAACGCGAACTTTCTCCTGTACAGTATAGCAATTTTTTATAACGTGATTTTCTACAGCGCGAGGTCACACAAGAATGCAACTATCATGTTATAGGAGAAATATCTGTACCATACAAAGTGCATTAGGGTAATAGGACAGAGCAAAGAATACAACGTTATGGCTGCAGAGAAGGTGCACAAAGACCGAGATCAACATTTAAATTTAAAATTTGAGAGGTCCATTCAGAAGTCTAATAACAGCCAGGAAGCAGCTGTGCTTGAATCTGGTGGTACATGTGTTTAAGCTTTTGCATCTTCTGCCTAACAGTCTTGAAAGAGGAAGAGAATTGAGTTTCCTCCTTTGTTAATCCACTCATAGCTAGTCACTGGCTCGGCTGGCATTTTTACCTTCTCCCTACTTGCCTGTAAGAAGGTAGTGGTGAATCAAATTTCAATCGCTGCAGTCCTTATGGTGAACAAACAGTCCAGGCTGGTGGTGGTTGGAACAGTTGGGGAGGCGGGGGGAGCCGGGGGGGGGGGGGGGGGGGGTGGGTGGTGGAGGTTGCTGTTGTTCAGGATTTTTACGCAGTGACAAGGGAAAAAAGTATATTTCAAAGTCACAAACATATGTGACTTAGAGATCTTGCAGGTGATGCTCCCATTTGTTGACTACCCTCATTTTTCTGGATGGAAAGTGTCATGGATTTGGAAGATGCTGTCAAAGAAGCCTTGGAGTAAGATTGGGATCTGACTCTGGAACTGCTAGATAATTTTTCACAATAACAAAATAGTCTGATGGCAGAATAGCCTCATCCCATTTTAAAAACCCAATTTTAGAAGGCTTAATTACAGAACATTCTGCTGTATTGATGACTTGGACTCAAGGGCAAAATTTCTAACTGTGCAGATCATATTAAACTCAAATATAGGCAGCAGTGAGAAGCAGAGTAACAGATTTCAAAAGGACAGAGAATCAGAAAATACAAAAATACTCAGCAGGTCAGACTGCACCTGTAGAGAGAGAAAATGGAGTCAATCTTCCAGGTCAATGTCTTTCCTTTAGAACTCCTGAAACAAAAATGTTATCGACCTGAAGCATTTAACTCTGGCTTTTCTCTCTCCACCAATGTTGCTTGACCTGATGAGTATTTTCTGCTTTTATTTTGGATTTCCAACATCTGCAGTATTTCACTGTTGACATCGGGAGAGCACAGATAGACTGGCAAAGAAATGGCAGGTGAAATTCAATGTGGAAAGGGGAGAAATTGAAAATAAATGGTATCATTTTCAAATGACACAGGGACAAGGAGACCTAGTGTTGAAAGTTCACAAGTATTTGAATAACAAAATTTATTAGAGAGAAGAAACAAAGATATGTTAGAATTTTATGGAATTTTGTTAGCACTGAGGTGAAGTATGGTGCCAAGACTTAGAAAGGTTGTCAAGGTCTTGAAAATTAAGGTACAAAGGAAATTCTAAAGAATGAAACAACATGTTGAGTAAGAGAGACTGTGATTTGGTCCTCAGAACAAAGAAAGTTAGTACATATGTTCGAAATGCTGAAGTTCTGGTAGAGTGAATAGGAAAAGCTGTTTCCACTGACAGAAATATAAGTAGCCTAAGATTCAGATTTAAGGAAATTGACAAAAATAAACAATAAGAAGCGATAAGAAGAATACTTTTCATGAACTTACAAAGTTGTGATGATTTGAAATAGGCTGCTTTGAAGGATAGTGGAAGCAGGCTTAATAATAACTCACAAAAAGGAATTGGATAAATATATGAAGAGGGGAGAAAACAGTTGCAGTGTTTTGGGGAAACAGCAGGGTAACAGGACTAATTGAATAGCTGTTTCAAAGAGCACAGGATTGATGGGCTCCTTCTGTGCTGTATCATTTAATGCTGTAACTTTTAGTTCCAAATATGTCGGGGCCAATATTACCCAATGTAGAGTTAGTGAGTCATACAGCATAGAAACAGACCCTTCAGCCCAACCAATCCACAGTGACTATGTTCCCAAACTAAACTAGTCCCCGCTGCCTGTGCTTGGCCCATATCCCTCCAAACCTCTCCTTTCTTTTCAATGCTGTAACTGTACCTGCACCTACTATTTCCTCTGGCAGATCATTCCACTCACGCACCACTCTGTGTAAAAAAAAATTCATATCCTTCACGTCACCTCATGTCCTTTTCAAATCTTTCTCCTTTCATCTTAAAAATATGCCCTTGAGTTTTGAACTCTCCTGTACTAAGGAAAAGACCCTTGTCATTCACCTTAACTATGCCCATCATGGTTTTATGAAAGGTTTTTAAGATTCACACAATTGCTACCCTTCTCTAAAGAAAATAAAAAGATTAAATTATTTCTAATTAAGAGTTGAATTCCAAATTCCTTAACCTGACTTTTTGTAAGACCTGAACATAAGACCATAAAAAAATAGCAACATGAGGCGGCTGTTTGGCCCTTCAACATTGCGAGGAATGTTGGATCACACATGTGGAACATCCACTTTCCTGCCCTTTTCCCGTAACCCTTGATTCCCCGACTGATCAAGAATCTATCTCAGCCTTAAATACACACAAGGATTCTGCCCCCACAATTCTCCGTGGCAAGGAATTTCAAAGACTCAGAAACCTCTGAGAGAAGAGATTCCTCCTCATCTCAGTCTTAAATTGACACCCAATTTTTCTGAGATTATGT